AATTTCTTCTTTAATTTATTGGTTAACCCATTCATTCTATAGTAGGATATTCTTTAATCTCCAAGTATTCATGGTTTTTCCAAATTTTTTCTTGTCGTTGATTTCGAGTTTCATAGCATTGTGGTCTGAAAATATGCACAGTATGATCTCAGTCTTTTTCTACTTGTTGAGGGCTGATTTGTGACCCAGTATGTGATCCCTTCTGGAGAATGTTCCATGTGCACTTGAGAAGAAGTGTATTCTGATGCTTTAGGATGAAATGTTCTGAATATATCTGTTAAGTACATCTGGTCCATTGTGTCATTCAGAGCCATTGTTTCCTTGTTGATTTTCTGCTTAGATTATCTGTCCATTGCTGTAAGTGGGGTGTTGAAGTCCTCTAGTATTATGATATTATTATCAATGAGTTTCTTTATGTTTGTGATTAATTGATTTATATTTTTGGGTTTTTCCACGTTGGGGGCATAAATATTTATAATTGTTAGATCTTGGTGGATAGACCCTTTAGTTAAGATATAATGCCCTTCTTCATCTCTTGTAGTCTTCATTTTTAAATCTAGTTGTCTGATATAAGTATGGCTATACCACTTTCCTTTTGACCTTTTGGAATATCAAAGACTTTTTGGTCTTTTGAAAAGACCATGAATACTGTGTTGATAGATGGTTCTCCATCCATTTACTTTCAATCTGAAGGTGTCTGTAGGTCTAAAATGAGGCTCTTGTAAGCAGCATATAGATGGGTCTTGTTTTCTTATCCATTCTGATACCCCGTGTCTTTTGGTTGGAATGTTTAGTCCTTTGAAATTTAGAGTGAGTACTATAAGATATGAATTTAGCACCATTGTGTTGCCTGTAGAGTTGGTGTTTCTGGTGATGTTCTCTGGTTCTTTCTAGTCTTTGTTGCTTTGGTCTTTTTTGTTTTGTTTTGTCTTTTCTCCATTCAAAGGGTCCCCCTTAAAATTTCTTGCAGAGCTGATTCAGTGGTCATGAATTCCCAGTTTTTGGTTTTCTAGGAAACTCTTTATCTCTCCTTCTATTTTGAATAACAGACAGCCTTGCTGGATAAAGAATTCTTGGCCACATATTTTTTTCTGATTCAGCACATTGAATATATCCTGGCGCTCCTTTCTGGACTGCCAAGTTTCTGTGGATAGGTCTGCTGCGAACCTGATCTGTTTAACTTACAGGTTAAGGACTTTTTTTTTCCTTGATGCTTTCATAATTCTTTCCTTATCTGTGTAGTTGTGAATTCGACTATGAAAATGCCTTGGTGATCGTTGCTTTTTGTTGAATTTAATGGGAGATCTGTGTGCTTCCTGGATTTTGATGTCTGTGTCCTTCCCCAGATTAGGAAAGTTTTCCACTATAATTTGCTCACATAAACCTTCTGCCCCTTTTTCTCTTTCTTCACCTTCTGGGATTCTCATGATTTGGATGTTATTTCTTTTTAATAAGTCACTAAGTTCTCTAAGTCTTGTATTGTACTCTTTGCCTTTGTTTCCCTATTTTTTTCTGCTTCATTATGCTCCATAATTTTATCTTCTAAGTTGCTGTTTATCTTCTAAATTGCTGTTTCGCTGCTCTGCTTCATCCATCCTTGCTGTTGTGGCATTTATTTGAGATTGCGTCTTTATAGCATTTTTAATTTCATCCTGATTAGATTTTATTTCTTTTATCTCCACAGGAAGGGATTCTATGCTTTTTTCAACCCCAGCTAGTATTCTTATTATCGTGGTTCTAAATTCCAGTTCAGACATCTTGCTTATATCTGTGTTGATTAAGCCTCTGGTTGTAATTTCTCCCTCTTCTTTTGGAGTGAATTCCTTTGTTTTTCATTTTGGAGGAAGAAAAAAATTAATAAATTAAAAACAAAACACAAATTCAAATAAAGGAAGCTATATCCTAGATTTATTTTGGTCTGCTTGTGTAAAGAAGCTGGATAGAATGGAGAAAATAGGGAAACAAAAGAACAAAAAGGTAAAAAAGTTTAAAACTTAAAAAAACTTAGAAAAAATGAATAAGGAAAATGAAATAGAATAAAAATCAAAACAAAAAATAACGTGAAAAAATAATAAAAATAGAAATAAATTTTTCTCTTTCTGTATCCAAGAATAAGGAAGAAAATAAAGAAAAAAAAAGAAAAAAAAAACAATTTAAGCAAAAACAGAAGCAAAGATAACGAACAAATAAATGAACCAGCAAACAGAATGAAACCTTAATGAAGTTAAGTTTCTCCTAGAACTGAAACTATGATTCCTTCTATAGTCCATACACTAAGCAGGTGGAGTGTCTTGTGCTGGTCTTGTAGGGGATGTGCTTGGAGGGCGCAGTTGGGTGGGGTTTGGTGTAACGGCTCCATTCTCCACTAGGCGGTTCTGCTTAGCTTCCTGGGGTAGATAAGTACGGCGTGCGTGTAAGCTTGCATGTGTGCGGAGGGTGGAAATGGCTTCACCCAATTCCCTAGTCTCTGGCACAGAAACTTCATGCTCTCACTGCCCCATGATCAAGCACCCCTCCTTTGTGTCAGGCCTCCATCCACTCCCCGCCTCTACCCTGCCTGTGTCTGAGCTGTCTGCCTGCCAGGTGGCACCTCTCTCCAGTTTTATCTCAGATGGGGTTGTTTCAAAACCCCTCACTTCAGAGACCCTCATGGCTTGGGCCCATGCTGACTCTCTGGGGGAGGGTCTCACTGAGCAATGGCTGGTGCTGGCTTACTCCAGAAAATGTTCATGGGGTCTTGCAGTGGCAGAGGTTCAGAGATTATGGCAAATCACCACACATAGCCGGCATCAGGTTTCACCGCACTCTTGTGTCTTTGTCCCAATACCAGCAAACGTGGTTGCTCTCCAGGGTCTGCTGGGGCCTTTGCTTTTTGGGAGGCTGTATGGCCTCTACCAAATGCACTCCAAGCTGGTGAACTGCTTCTCACCATGTGGCCCACGGATCCCTCAGAACCCACTACCTGCTCCTGGGGATTCACCCTACTTCCTCACCAGAGCACCACCAGGCACTGAGCTCTGCAACTTCAGACTCTGTGCTCTACTCTTTATAGAATCCAGGTGGTATTAAAACCCACTCCTTTCTTCCTGTCAATGATTTTGGGGAACAGATTTCTTGTTCAGTCCCCTGCATATGTTTTCACTCTTTTTCTCTCTTTCTCTCCAGCTACTTTCAGGGGAGTGCTTTTCTTGCACTATCCCAGAGTGCTGCTCTCTCCCCCTTTCTCTTTCTCTGTCCTCTCTCCACAGGAACAGCTCCCTATAGTCCATGGCTTTTCTCTCCCCCGGTTCACCTCTCTGCACTGCGTACCTGCCGAGTTCCATTGCTCAACTTATGCAGATTGTTGTGTTAATCCTTAGATCAATTTCTAGGTGTTCAAAATGGTTTGGTGCTGATCTGGCTGCGCTTCAAGGATGAGACAGGTTCAGGGTCTCCATGCTGCTCCACCATCTTAACTCGTTTCCCTGATCTGGTAACTTTAATTCCCAGCCCCCCCCCCCACCCCCCCCACCAGCTGGCACTGAAGCTTCATGCAGTAGAGGGCCCTGGAGTAAAGTACAGAGGAAAATGGTTTTGCTAACAGGTGCTGGTGTGCTTGTTTATCTTGTGCTGAGCTTGGCTTTTTCCAGCACCAGACTCCTGAGGCCCTTGAAACTTCCCTGGTGCTCTAGTGTTACAGTACAGGGTGGCTGTCAGCAGCTTCCTCTAGCTGTCCCTGTTTGTAATGTGTATTGTTTGTCATTTTGTATTGAAGTGCCTCTGGTTAAACACCTCTGTGAATAACATCCCTGGCACCCTAGTTGAATGATTTCTGGTAAGTTCCTTAGGTAGATTCCTAGTAAGTGAGCAACTTTTCTTCTTTCAGTGAGCAAAGGCTGTTTGCTCTCTAACAAGTTCTGGATCTCAGCACTGGAGAGGAGAGCTTGGGGAGAAAGAACCCTTCATTGGGTCCTCTGAGCCTCAGGAATAATGACTGTTTCTTTTATCTGTCATTCCTATGTTCTTTTTTTAAAAATGTTTTAAATGTTTTCATTTTATTTTTGAGAGAGAGAGAGAGACAGTTTGAGCAGAGAGGGAGGGGAGGGGCAGAGAGAGAGAGAGAGAGACGGAGACACAGAATCTGAAATAGGCTCCAGGCTCTGAGCTGTCAGCACAGGTCATGACCTGAGCCAAAGTTGGACACTTAACCAACAGAGCCATCCAGGCGCCCTATTCCTAAGTTCTTTTAAGTTCTCTTTACATCTTTATAGCTATATAATCCCTCATTATTTTAATTCCCATTATAGTTAATAGTTCTTTATATTAATTATCCTTGTGTGGTTTCTCTCTCATAATTGGACCCATATTGATATATTTATTTTGAAGCTCTGTTTTAATTGTTTGTACATTCATAATCATTATATCTTTTTGAATCTTCACCTCATTTATGGTAGTAAAATTCATGGTAGCAAAATTACAGTAGCTTTAGGCCTCATATCTTCCTATGATATTCTTAAGAATAGGAGGTCTGTGTTCTGTAATTTTCATCAAGTTTTGAGATTTATTCTAATGACAGTTGGGTGGGGAAATAAAATATGCTGTTTACTTAACTCACACATGTACTTTGGTTCAAGTGGTACATGTGTAACCTTTCTAAAAGCCACATAGGTCTCTAATGGAAGGGGAAAGGAGGGGAAAGCTGTAGAGACTTCTCATAGGTGTCCCTACAGTGAGCCTCCACAGTGCCAAGCCTTTAAACTTAAACACAGAATGATGGTAGAAATGGTAGAAACAGATCCTTTAAATAAGATATAAAATTGAATCCATAGAAGTAAAGTAGACTTTTTGTCAATGGAGCAAAGAGAAGAACTTCAAGTAATGAATTGAATTGAAACGATTGAAACAATTGTGGACTGTTCCAGAATTTCCACTTACCAGTAGTATTCTACTTTTGGGATTGTGAGTCACATATATCATTTTCCATTGTGTAACATATAAAACTAACATGTACTTGTTTGTCTAAAATCCAGTATTTGTTAATTAAGATTATGTCGTCTAAGAGCAAATTGAGCATGGTCAAAATGCCCAGGGAGATCCAAGGACCCCCTTAACTGGACAGTCTGATAAATGGCCAGATCCATGAGTAACTCAGTTAAGATGCTTAGAACAGTTTTGGGCACACACTAAACACTTAAAATGTCCCTTGTTTATTATTGTTGATGGTGTGTTGTTATCATTACTAGTGTTATTACTAGGGAATTTACCAATTCCATTTCACACCATATCTGCATTTCTAAGGAAACACCAGAGGTCCAGAATCACCTATGGTCTAGGGAAATATATGATATATAAAATGACATTAAGTGTCAATGGTATTAAAAGCCATAATAAGGTAATTTTATATTCATAGAGAAGACATTCTCTTTAGGGAAACTATTCTAATTCTGGAATTTACCAGAATTAACTGATTGATGGCTGAAACTGTACCCTCGCAACCATTTTTAGGCAAGAAATGACTGAAAAATTTTCTACTTCATAGACTTCTTTATTGAAACTATGGATTTTCATCCTTTCTCAGTGAAGTTTTACAGATTCTCTTTTACACGCGCGAGCACACACCCACCCACACACACACACACACACACACACACACAGTATATCCTGTCTGAAAAGATCCTCTTACATATAAACATATTGCTTGCTCCCTCACTTCTTTCCAGTCACTGCTGAAATTTATCATCATAATAAGAGCCTTTTCTTACCAAAGTATCTAAAATAGCACCTTTTGCTATGTACCTATCCCATTATCTTTAGAGTTATTATATACCCAGGATATTTTGAGTAAAAGAATATGCTTTTAATAGTTCCACCAAGACAACAGGTATTTGCATAGGGCAAATAGGAATGAATGGTCCTCCTGTTTTTCTTTCTAGCACTGATATATTATTTCTTTTTTCTTTTTTCTTTCAACAGAGTGGAAGTTTCATAAGAGTAGAGATTTTTTTTCTGTTTTGTTTACCGCCATATCTCTGATGCATATGGCAACACCTGGCACATACTAGGTATCTGATAGTTGGGAGTTAATAAAATATCATAATGCATTATATAACTGCCTCATTACTATTTTTATGACTGTTGGAACTATCCAATTGAGAGATAGCTATTTGTAGTGTTATAATCCTTTGGTTAGGAAATGTATTTTGTATTTAAAAATTTATAATTAATACCTTCTCTGACCTCATTCCCTTCAACACTTGGATACAGAACAGATACGATTTTTATTTATATTGTAGTGGATTAGTAGTTGTCCGTATTGTTTTCTCTTGCCTGTAGAGACACATTGCAGTTTCATTACAGCTCCTGCTTTTCAAGCTCCTGGGAATTAGTGCTTACCTGGTGTCTGGGGTATTGAAAATGCTTTCAGGTGAAGATTTAAAGGCTGAGAATATATCCTTCAAAGGCTATGAATGGGAGTGTCCCTGCCTCAATCCTCAAGGAGGCTTGTAAGACTCAGGATTCATATTTTAAATCCATAGTGACAAATGCCTTCCACCAGTTCATCTTTGTAGTTAGGGGAGGTAAATAGGCATTCAGAGGATATTATTATAGTAATTGTTCTTGCTGGTGCAGAGGCTAACAGCATTCTGGCACTCTCAAGGTATTTACTGTAGCTTTTGATTTGCTATATGTGAGTAGTATTTCTGCAGTGTTGCAGTGCTTTTACTTCGTAACTCACGCTAAAAGTGCATGTGAAGATGAGAATTTTTATAGAGGAATAAGGAAATTTGTCTTTATTTAGTTACAAGATAAAGGGCATCTATGAATTGAGGTTAATTATGCTCCATGTTTCAGTACATGTAATTACATTAACTTGCTATTTGGTTTTTTAGCAGCATTACTTAACTTTCCCTTTAATAATTTAAGGTCTCTCTTCCTGAAGTATTTTTGCCAAAATATACTTTTTAAGTATAAAAGAATAGAAAATTGTTTATAGAAACTAGCAAGTAGCTTTTCTCAGTAAATGTTAATCTAGGTTCTTATGATAAAATATAAATCAAACAAACCCAGTTACTTTTTAGGCCATGTCTTTACAGCTGAGGAGTTGCAGTAACAGTGCCACCTGGATGGTTTATTTCATTATTTCACTTTGTGTGGCAGTTATTCATGGAGTCAATGGTAGATTCACAAGGTATCTAGTATGTTGACATAAATCTTAGATTTGTTTTCTATTTAAACCCTTTGTTTTTAAACTTTATACTCCTTCCAAGATCATTTTTACTTCTGACACCGTTGATATCTTTAGGGAACCAATTGGAATTACTCTGTTAACAGCTGCATTTGTTTTCCTTTCTTCACTGGAAATGGTTCACAGAAATAATAACTGACCATGCTAAATACCCATGCGATATTTTCATGAATGTATTATTGGCCATTTTCTGCTTACATGTTTGGCCCATTCCAGAATGATTCTGGCTAGTGTGGGGTACTTTTTTTTTTTTTTTTTACTTAGATGAAAGAGTGATTCCTTCCTTGGCTGTTTTTTTGTTTTTTGTTTTTTTTAAAGTAGGCTTCCCATGGAGCCCAATGTGGGGCTTAAACTCATGACCCTGAGATCAAGACCTGAGCTGAGATCAAGAATTGGACGCTTAACCAACTGAGCCACTCAGGCACCCCTTTCCTTGACTTTACTTTTAACCTTTTACTTTTCTTTGTGAAATGCTTTTTATTTTTAATTGTGTTATTTATTTGAAAAGAAAGTGTAACTTCTTTTTCTTTCAAATTTGCAAATACTGAGTTTACACTGTCTAAACAAGGCAAGTTCTTTGAAATGGAAGGGGTATTATGCACATATAGCATATTATGCACATATGCAATTAATTTTATTGTTTGCTAGGACTTGCTCTCAGACAAGATGTATACATACATACATATACATGCATATATATACATATGTAAATACATGCATATATGTAACTATTAATGTGATATCTTTTTAAATTTGATTTTTACTTACATTGAAATTATTTTAATTGGTTATATAATTGTTATTTTTTTCTTTAATATTGGAATTACATATAGTCTACAAAACTTATTCCCAAAACAGTGATCTTGTAACATCCCTCTCTTCCATCATTTCTGACTCCCCAAGGAACTAGGTTATTATTATTATTTTTTATTGTTTTTCTTTGTACTCACCTACATATCTCTAACATACTTATATTACATTCGAAACATTTTGATTTTTTTCAGTTTTAGACATTATCTCTACTTTTCCTTATGGAATATGAGGATGTAAGTACTTTTCATATATTCTCTGCTTGCCCTGAAAACATATATATGCCCTTTTTCTGTCTTTCTCTCCTCTTAATAGAGTTATAATCACAATTTTGTTTTGTATATTATGACCATGTAAAAAGTATTTTTAGCTGAACCATGTGGTGAATATATTACAGTTACTTTTCTTGGCAAGAATTCTGTTTTCACTTGAATTTAATATTTTCTTTACTTTGCTTAATTTTGTAGTTTATTTTAGTTTTTGCTTAACTTAACCCAGTTCTTCCTCAGATATTTAAATCATTTTCTTAAAGTTTAATGTTATTTCACTTGTCTTTTTTTTTTTTTT